TTCCCCTTGTCAGACAAAAAGGAAATTACCATAAACATAAAGACGGGCAAATCACAGCTCAGATAAGTAAATAAAATTTCTCCAAGAGAAACAATAGCAAAAATAAAAACAGAAATATCTCTCTGTTCAGTGAACATTATGCAAAATGTCATCTCTTTTTCAGAACAAAAACAAAACAATAAACTGAATAGACAATAATATATCTAACATTTATTGGCTGATTCATATTTGCCTGCTACAATAGCAAGTGCTTTAGATACACAAGCTCATTTAATATTCACAAGAAACTTATGATATGCATATTATTATCTACCTTTACAGAAAGAGAAAATGTGGTTTATAGCAGTTTAAAAGCTTGTCTAAATTTTCATAGCCACACTACCTCGTGAGATAAGATTTAATCTCAGGGTCCCTCTGACATCAGGTACAACCTGTAAACTTCCCCATTATAAAGAATTGTGTTTTGACCTCCAGGTGTTGTAAGCTAAACCAGAAAAAAAAAAAGTAGGATGGTTAAGAAACATTGCTTCATGCAGACTTCTGTATAAAGACTAATTTTCCTCCATTAAGCTCCATGGTCCCTCCAATTGCCCCAAGTCAGTAAGCTGAACTTCAAACTTGACCTCTCTCTCTTTATCACCTTTTTTTCCCTCACATATGGTCAACTGTTGATGGGATCAACAGTTTGAGTTTTTTAGAGTTTCCTGTATCTTTACATTTTTTTATAATGCTTGCTGCTGCTCCACTGTTTCCCTCTTGGTCTATGGGAAAAGTCTCCCACCCAATTGGTCTCTCCATATTTTAATTTACTTCTTCCAACTTCTCCCCACAAGTAGCCAGAATGATTGATCTTTTGAAAATTCACATACGTAGCTGCTTACAGTGACTATTGCCTAGAGTATAATATCTTTACTTTACATACTATGCAAAGGCCTTGATGATGCAGCCCATGTGTTTTCTCTACTCTGAAAATTCTTCATGCTGAAATACCTCCATATCTCAAACATATGGTGCTTTTGTACCTAAATCTCAGTGCATGCCATTTCCTGTCCTTGGAATACTCTACCTGTCTTCACTTACTTGTCATTCAAGTCTTAGTTCAGATATCTCTTCCTTTGGGTAGCCTTCAAAGATTATCCAAGACTGAGCAAGCTGCTCACTTCAGGTTATTTGTTTTCACAGCACTTGCCACATCATGACATAATTATCACTTCACCTGTCTGTCTTGCTCCACTAGGAGCAATCTAAGGAAGTTCCAGTTCTCATTCTCCTTCATAACTCTGTACTCACCACAGTGCCATTATCTATTCATATACTCATCATCAGATGTCAAGGAATATCTGTGAAAATGAAGGAAGATAGGAAGAAGGAAAAAAGAGAAAGAAAGGAAAAGATAACAAGATGAAGGAGAAAGGAGTATGAAGAAAAGGAAAGAAAAAGGAGGAGAAGAGGAAAAAGGAAGGAAAAAGGGAAGGAGGGTGTAAGAAAAAGAAGGGAAATGTGTATCAAACTACAGAAAAATGGAGAATATTCACATTAGATTCCTCGTGGAAATGTCTGGGGAGGCGCTAGACACCATCAGTCCTTTAGTAGCTGTCTGACTCTCTGGAGTTACAGACATAGTCAGCGAGTTCTGATGTTAAAATAAATAAATAAATAAAGACTGAAAAGACCTTAGAAACAACTGAGTTCAACTTTATCTTATAATTGAGCAGCCTGAGTCAAAGACAAGGAATGTAACTTGCTCAATAAAAGGCAATTAATAAAGGTTAAGATGAAAAATCTGAATACCCAAGTTGTCTTCACCATATCAATCTTCCCAGAGACACAACTAAATCAAAAATGACAAGAGAAGGATGGTAGCTTAGAGCCTTTGATCCCTGATTGAGTGTTGTACATACTGCAATTCTGTGTGCTATTTCTTTTCTCCTAACATTTTTTACTGAATACAAAGAGCATTACCCCTTGAGGCAGGAATAGTGAGGCAAGACAAGACTATTTGAGGTTTTCCTGCCTCTTGTTTTGTATTATTCACTTAAATCCTCTAACAAGCTCTGAGATTTTTCTCCCTCTGTACTTTTGCCACGTTGTCCTCTCATCGGAAAGAACTCTGCTACCATTTCTACCTTTTGAAATCCTCTACATCCTTCAAGGTTTTACTCAAATGCCTTTACTTCCATGAGAATTGCTTCAATATCCCTAACAGGAAACAATCACTATATGTTTTCTGCCCCATGGCTCTGTTAATTTCTTTCTCAAAATACAGATCAACCTATTCCTTTTCTTATAGTTTCATGTGTATCTCTTTTTTTATTTTTCCTCACTAAATGTGTACTCCTGGAAGGCAGGACCCGTTCTTACTTTGTCTTTATCTTCCTAAGGAGGATTAGCACAGTAATTGTTATATGACACGTATTTTATATATTTGTTATGTTGAATTGAATCATAGAACCCATCTTCTAACAACCATGCTTATATCATCCTAAAGTAGTAGCAACTAGAAATCCGTGATGCCCTTTCTTGATTGTTTTCCATGAGTAAAATTAAAAAAAAAAAAAACTTTTATTGTGTTGACTTTTGTCCAACAATTACTTGAAGTAAGCTGTTTACATGGGCCAAAGGTAGTATACTAATAGGGAAGGGGGTGAGGAAAGAGAGGATCATGTCTTTCCAATTTGTAGATAAATAGTATGAGTTTATATCCTGACCAACTGAAGTAGTAATTTTTATAAGAGACTCCTATCCCTTTGACAATATTGAAAAATAAAGAAATTGTTGAAAGAGAAGGAAACTGATTCATTAGGGTGTTCTTTTAGTGCGGAAAAGTGTGGGAAAAAATAATGCAATGCATTAATAAAATGTATTACTTTAAAAGTAATAGATTCCGTACCCCACAGTTTAAAAATAAAAAATATGTTAAAAAAAAAAAAGTAAGCCAGGCTCGGTGGCTCAGCCTATAATCCTGCGCCTTTAGGAGGCTGAGGTGAGTGAAGTGCCTGAATCCACGGGTTCGAGACCCGCCTGGGCAGCGAGACCTCATCTCTACAATAAATCAAAAAACTAGCCAGGCATGTTAGCGCGCACCTGTAGTTCCAGCTACTTGGAAGGCTGAGGCGGAAGGATCACTGGAGCCTAGCAGGTCGAGGCTGCAGTGGCCAGGAGTGGCCACTGCACTCCAGTCTGTGACAGAGTGAGACTCCAACTCAAAAAAAAAAAAAAAAAGTAATACATTCCAGTATGGGGAATAAGACAGAAGTTAAGAAATACCCACTAACTCTTGTCCAAGGTTAGCAAGGATTTACTTGGGGTGAATAACCCGGACTGCTCATTCCACTCATTTTAGCTAGATGTATTCTTGCACAGGACAGACGGCAAATTGGTTTGGATGTACTAAAATGAAAGAAGAAGGCATTTTAATGCCAGGACTCCTAATCTCTCTCAGCAAGGTTTGACCCTTTCTAAAACTCTATTTCTTATCAAATGAAGTTAGCAATTATGTCAGCTTAAGCAGAAGAACTATAAAAAATTGTTTTAGAAAATATTTTAACAATGTCTTTAGATGGGATTTTGCATTTTTAAACACTTTAAAAACATGATTTTAAGTATGTTCAAGTTTGACATATTTCTGTATTAATGACCTACCACTGGCAGTATAGATAATGGCAAACTAATGGCAGCAGAACATGTTATCTGCACTTTTTGCTGAGCACTGTTCAAAGGACATTTTTTTTCATTGACTGCTTATATTTGTGGCCAGATAAAATGCATCACTGGACTCACTTATAGCAGACATCCTTTATAGTGGCTCAATTCTATCACAAATTTTAGAAATGTAATTTTCTAGCACTAAATAGGTATTTATAATTCCACTGGTTTTAAAATGCCATGTAGAAGTCAGAGGAAAATTAAAAGCAAGAGAAAGCAAACAGCAAAATAATGTACAGCAAAATAAAATGATTATTACTTTCCATTTCTAACTCCAACTTGAGAGTCTAATAAAGAAAATATATATATATATAAACTCCCTCTTGGGTGTCTTTCCTAAACTTCATAGAGGTGACATTAGCGTTAGTTAGGGTAAATTGTTCCCCTCAGGATGCGCATAAAATAGAAAATTATGTTGCCATATACTCCTTATTTGAGCTCCTAAAGTATTGGGTTTTTTTTCTTACCTACATTTTCCTAAACCCTACTAATGAATAGCAGCTGATTCGGAAGATTTTATTTTATTTTTTTACTCAGTTCTTCCTCTCTCGGCCTATAGCCACAATAAATGCTTTTGAACTTCAAAATTACTTCTTTCTGAGATTCTCCAATTAGAAAAACAAAATCCTCAAATGTAAACCCACTAACTCATCTCTTGCATTATACTCAGTTCCCAAGAGCAAGTAATTTATGAGACAGAATTTCTTAAAACCTTTTCGGTCCCCTGTATATTGGGATGCACTGAAAAGACTTTTTCCCTCAGAATATTTTCTTCTACTTGCATATTCATTAAGATAATATTTATCTATTGCATACTAATTGATAAGTTTTATATGCCTTGCATTTGATTACTCAATGTCATAGATTATTATCACTCCTTAAGAAAGTCTATCACACTATTCCAAATTCTGTCAATAAGATTAAGAAATTTATCTTTGAAGAAAAAAGTGTTACTGAAATGTTATTCAATTTGGAAATGCAAGCAATGGAAGAGGTGAATTTCTGGAGGTCTCAGTAGCAGGAGTATTTAATTACCCTTGTGTAAATTTATCCTTATGAAAACATAAAAAGAGAGACTATTGAGTTACCTCATCTGTGAAATGGGAAAACAAGATCTACATCACAAATTAGCTATGAGTTGATAATGTAAAGACTCAATAAGTATTAAGTCAGTCCATGATGCCTATTTTTGTTCTCATCAGTCTTAGTGAGCATACTGAGTTTTGTATAAGATAGAGGGACTAGAGAAAACTTGGACTGGCTGCGGTCAGAAAAATAAGTTGCTGCCTTCTTACCTCCAGGGAGTCATCAGCATTCACCATCCAACAGTCTGTCCAGGTGGCCACAATCAAAAATCCAGTGGAGAAAAAGGCAAAGAAGCAGGCAGTGTACTGAAGAAGATCCCTCATCGTGGCAAGCAGCCAGTCTGAAAGGCAACATGGGCAGATGCCAGACCTGGACCCACTCAGGTAGCTGGAATGCTGTCAGTCTTCTTGTTTCTGGTACCTAGGGATGTGAAAATACTGGTTTTTTACTTTTTCTCACACCCCGCTGTAGGTGTCTTAAGTTGGAGTAAGAATAATAGAAACAGGCTGTAACCAACAGTGGGGTCCTAGAGGGCATTATCCGAAGCAACCAAGTCTCCAATCAGAAGCCAGGTCAGTGAAAGCTCTGGGTTTGTGTTGGGTCGGGGAGAGAGAAGTCTTGGTAATGTCTTCCCTCCTGACAGTGGGCTAGTGCGAGATGATGGTCACCAGAGGCACGTGTCAGTGCCAAGATGGGGAAAGGAGGAAGGGCTCTATCCCATAATGGAGGCTGTAAAGTGATCTTTCTCAGGCCCTCTAAGGGAAAGTGAGCTATTCTCCTCCCCCCTCAGAAGAAGGCTACACGGTTGACTGAGTGTTATTTTATTGTTAGGACTATTTCAATATTCGCTGACTACCTTAGACAGACAGGCCACTGGTGAAACTATGCTAAACAAGTACTTGCTCAAGGGAGTTTGCATTCCAAAGTGTTGGGCAGAACAGCCCCATGAAAGATTTCTAGCACCTGGGCAGCAGGTACAGCCAAGGCTCCTAACCTTTCAACATCGCAGAATGAGAACAAGTGCACATGTTAATCCAGATAGTTCTGGATGAAAATCCTTGCTCTGAAGCTTATGGACTGAAAGCTGTTGGGTTGCAGTTTCTGTAAAACGTGGGTATTAAATTTTATTAATGAGAGGTATGTGAGGATTAAATAATATTGTGTCTGACAATAATAGCTAAATGGTAAATATTAACATTATTAAGAATTTCATATCTTACTACTTTCTGTCGTGATCCAACATTTGAACCAGTATCTAATGAAAATCAAAACCTTTTTATGTTAGAATAAAACCTGAATGAGTGACCTTAAAGGTTACAAATATTCCATAACCAACGTGCTTAATAATACTTTTAAAAGCACACATATTGCCATTATGTCTTCATACTAAAAAAAAAAATTTGAATGATAAATGATAATAGTAAATGTTTGTATTGTATCTTAATGCAAGATAGAGAGGATGAGAAAGGAAAAGACAGTGAGCGAGAGAGAGGAGCAAAAAAAAAATACGAATAGGTAATTACCTTGGAAAGAATCAGCTACTAAGATAGTCATTTTAGTAAAAGTTTATGAAGAAATTACTTTTTCCATTTAATAATTATTATCATTTAATGATAATAATGTAATTTAGTTACGTTATTTAGTGCAAAAGGCTAAGATCAATGTTGATATAACATTTTTTCAACAATATGTTAAAATAATAAACTTTTGTGAATAAACTGTTACATTTCATTTTAATTTATTTATATTGGATAAGTAAAATGTAAATTTAAATGCAAAGGTTGGATGAAAAGCCATTTGTGGAAGATAAGCCAGAATATTTCCATATATAGGATTTATAGTACTCCCCCTAATCAAGGGCTTTTCTTTTTGAAGCTTCAGATACCTGTGGTCAACCATGGTCTGAAAATATTACATGGACAATTCTAGAAGAAAACAATTAATAAGTTATAAGCTGTGTGCTGTTCTGAGTACCGCGATGAAGTCTCCAGCCATCCCACTCTATCCTGCTCTGGACATGAATCATTCCTTTGTCCAGCTTATCCACAGTGTACATGCTACCTGCCTCTTAGTTACTTAGTAGCCACCTTGGTGATCAACTCAACTGCTGTTCAGAGTGTATCTAGAATCTGACACTGTCTTTGACTTCAGGCACCCACTGGGGTTCTCGGACAATATCCCACAAGAACAAGGGGAGACTAATACATTAACAGTACTTATTGCTACAGACACCTTTAGTTTTACTTTATTTGACTTATTTTAGTTAACAGTTGGGAAAAATTATACTTGTTTTTTAAGTGCTCACTCAAAGAATGTAATTATCCAGGATATGCATTCACATTTGCTGCTTTGGTGAATCACAAGTGAATCTTTCCCTGTGCCCTAAAATCTAAAATGCCAACATTCCAAAAGCACATATCCATTACAGGAAAAGCCCTGGAATTAGTTGCTAAATTTCTACCCAGAGACCTTTCACAATGTACTCTTCCTGCTATCAGTGCACCTCAGGGCAGTGGATTTTAAACTTGAATGTATACTGAGATCTCCAAGGCCATTTGTTATAAGTGCAAACCCAGGAGTTCCACCCTCAGAGATCTGGATTCAGAAAATTGGGAGTAGACGCCAGGAATTCACATTTTATAAGTTTTGTATAAAATTCCGATTCTGAAACAAATGGCCATGCTTTAAGAGATTTGTTCAGAACAAGAAAAGACAAAACAGCATAAAAATCAGCATAAAACTTTGTAGAGTCATACTGTAAATCACAGGCAAATCTGTAAAAAGGAAGATATCACAATCTTTGGTCAAACTCTGCCCTAACTAGTACCTATAGCAGGTCCCAGACCCAAATATCAGAACTTAACAAAGAGGAATAAGGAAGTGAAAAATATTGAGCACATGCATGCATTTCAACATGCAAGCATACACATATGCATACATATTTCTGCAAGTCAGGGTTTTTTGGGGGGTTTTGTTTTTTTCATAAGAAAGATACAGATTGTAACTTCTTCATTTCACTCCGAAAATGTACTAAACATTGTATGTGACTGGGACTTACTTAGGTCACTAGAAATGCTCCTGAATCGAATTTTAATGCTTTTAGAGAATAACATAAGACAGTCACACATAAATGTTAATTTCTATGGATGAGGCCACAATATGATGGGAGATCCTAAAAAAGAGAGTTATACTAACTGACAGAACAGCAAAAACTTCATGGGGGGACGTGACTGCACTTCTAAGAAAGAGATAAATGTGCAGGGAGCTATGAGGATGAAGGATGCAGATGCTGAATAAATCACTCACAAGTCTACATAGTCACATGTTTTTCACAACCCACCAAGCTCTAGATTCCAATATTTAGATTTGTCATGTCATCCATAGCTTAGTTCCATTTCATCCAGCACACATTTATAGGACACCTGCTCTGACTCAAGGGCTATGATGGGTCCTGGGGACATAAAAAAAGTAAAAGATGAAGGCCTCATCCCATCCTTGAGAAGTTTACTCTGCAGTGAGCGGACCAGACCTAATCACATGAAGTGAAGCAAAAATCTCCACTCAGGTAATTCTGACAACAACCTTAAGTGGTAGTACTGCTCCCAGTAATACTATGGAGGAATATTAGTTAAGAATATGAGGGGTTTCCCAATTTATAATAAACCAGAAGGACAATTATTATTATATGTGTTGCTCAACAGGGTTTACAAAATATTTTTTGAATATATTATCTCATCTAAGCTTCACGATGACAGACATCCTTGTTTTGTTCATTAGTGCATCCTACGTGCTTAAAATTCTGCCTGACATATGGTAGGCTGTCAACAAATATACATTTAATTTTACCCAATCTTCCTAGCCCCCACATTTTACAGAAGAGGGAGTAATATTAGATTTTCTTTTACTGACATATCCAGGGTCCCCCATGATGGATAACAGGCAGAGGTGGGCTGATCATCTTGTAGCTCTCTAGCTGTTTGTTTTGAAAGAACCCAAAGGCAAACATTTTGATCAATTCTCTAGGCACTGGGGTCCTCCTCACCTAGTCTTTGTACTACTCCTAGCTGAGGTTTTAGAGCCACCTGGTAATCAGGTAAGTGGCACTCTCAGCCTAGCAGGAAGTGTAGAAGTGAAAACGTTGCAGTTGTCCTTTTGGTCTGTAGGTGGAAGCAGCTCTGCATTTTCAGTTAAGCAAAAGAGCAAGATAGATAATTTTGTGTTAATAATGTTTCCGCTAGTGTCACAAAATGTTCCTTCTGTATTCATTATAATAATGTGAGTTCTTATAAGTAAGCTAATTTATACCTCATCTCATGAATAAATTTCTCACTTCTTTTTAAATTCCCAGTACTCACTGGAAAAATTTAGACAATAAAGTTGCTTGCTGTTTTCAAAGGAAAGACTGGCTATAACCAATGGCAAAACAAATTGATGGTTAAAAGCTGGGACCTCAGAGTCAGGCAGAATCAAGTTAAGCTTAGGCCACTTAATATATGTCAGATCTTGAGCAAGCTACTTAATATTTCTGAGGCTATCTTCTTGTCAATAAAGTGAAAATTGTGACTCTGTCTCATAAAACGACTGAAAAATAAACAACAACTTATAAAGGTTTGAATACAGTGCATAGAACATAATAAAAAATAAAAAAATTATAGCTATCTTGATTATGTTACAAACTTGCTTTTTTCCATATGTGCCATATATACACATATATGTTAGTGTGTGTATATATATATATATATATATATATACACATATGTATATACGTATCTATTCAACTATATCTATATATAAAACAACTTGGTAAATTGAACACACTGGAAACAAAAGGTGCAATCATTAAAAAAAATATTATTCTTGTCAGCGATGGTACTTTCAAATCCATTTGGTTTGGGCCAATTCTTTCACTGCCTCTTATATAAAATATAGGGCAAGTTCCATGACATTCTTTTACTTTCAGATAATATAAATTTTTTCAGTCATTTCAAAGCACAAAGGTGCAACTTCATTCCAATGATGCAAATATCTCTATGTCTGTACACAGGCCAGTCTCTTTGCAGCTACTCTTCCATCATGCAGGTATCAGAGCAATGTACCTGTTATAATCATTGTCCTTTAGAGTTTTTGATCTGGAGATGTACAGTAGTTCACTGTGTCTCTCCAGACCCAGGGAACAAACACCAAGCTTTCAGAGTATATGAGTTGAAGCCTTATTCTTTATCCTTAAAGTGGGGTAAAAAACTCCATTGCCCCCCACCTCGATGGTGACATGAAAGTAACTCTCTCCAAAAATTCTCTTAATCTTTAACTCCTTTTTTGGAATTAACCTTATTTTTAGGGGATTGGGAGAGGATAACCAGTCCATCAGGAGTTGTGAAACTGGTTCTCAGACATCTTTTTTGCAACTCCAGTCTGGGGTCTCTCATTTCATTTTGAAATGTAGTACTTAGTGTTTAGTGTCAAAACTGGGAGAGAAATGAATTTAATTGAAAAACCTTTTACACAGGCTTGTATGATATTAGACTGGAGTGCTAGTA